GACAATTTGTGACAATCCAGAGACAATTTGTTACAATCCAGAGACAATTTGTGACAATCCAGAGACAATTTGTGACAATCCAGAGACAATTTGTGACAATAGGTGACTTCATATTTTTTTTTAATCAATGTATTTGTATACGGGGTGCGAGATTTTCCCAGGAAGACTTTTGCTTGCTAAAAATAGCGCGGGATCCCGGGATTGCGTTTGGGAAAGCCTAATACAAGTATGGCCGACACGAACGTGAATCGTGTGAAGAACTTCAAGCGTCACGTGCTGTAAATCATCAAAATAATCCACAAAACGAATGAAACAATCATTATAATTTTTTGCTTCAAAGACAAGTTTAAACATATAAATAGTAGAAAATAATTGAAACTTATTTAAAATGCATTACGCAAATGACGTGTTTGCAGAAGTGTAGAAAGGCACTAGATGAAGCAGAGAGGTTTGAATTAAATGTAGAAAAAAAAAACTTGAATGTGTTGTTGTTTTGTTTTTGCTTTGCCTCATTATGGTATTTAAATGGATTTTTTTTAAAATATTTACTGCACAGACAACTAAGACAAAGTGGTTGAAAAAAGGGATAAGACTCCCTGCCTCCCCCCCCCCCCGTAATGCCCCAAAAGTAAACCGAGATCTTAGAGACCTGTGGTCAGTGTTACTTTCAAATATTTTGTTTCAGGGGGTGGGGAGGGTATTTCACACCCTCGGGTGGCAGGGGCGTACGAAGGGGTGGGAAGGGCGGGCTGCTCCCCGATGGCGTCTTTTTAAAAAGCTTTTTATGGAGGGGGCTGCATTTGCGGCCGACTGCAGATTTTATTTTAAATCGTGGTAGTTGGGGAAAAAATTCGAGGCCCACCCAGGCTGACCCTAACCCTAGCTACGCCTCTTGGAACTGCACCTGTCGGAGCCAAAATTATATTAAACTAGCAATAGCCCGCAACACAATGGCGGCGCAATGAATCTCACGCACTGTGGTCGACTTTGCGTTACAGGCTATAGCTAGTTACTTGACATTGCGTTACAGGCTATAGCTAGTTACTTGACATTGCGTTACAGGCTATAGCTAGTTACTTGACATTGCGTTACAGGCTATAGCTAGTTACTTGACATTGCGTTACAGGCTATAGCTAGTTACTTGACATTGCGTTACAGGCTATAGCTAGTTACTTGACATTGCGTTACAGGCTATAGCTAGTTACTTGACATTGCGTTACAGGCTATAGCTAGTTACTTGACATTGCGTTACAGGCTATAGCTAGTTACTTGACATTGCGTTACAGGCTATAGCTAGTTACTTGACATTGCGTTACAGGCTATAGCTAGTTACTTGACATTGCGTTACAGGCTATAGCTAGTTACTTGACATTGCGTTACAGGCTATAGCTAGTTACTTGACATTGCGTTACAGGCTATAGCTAGTTACTTGACATTGCGTTACAGGCTATAGCTAGTTACTTGACATTGCGTTACAGGCTATAGCTAGTTACTTGACATTGCGTTACAGGCTATAGCTAGTTACTTGACATTGCGTTACAGGCTATAGCTAGTTACTTGACATTGCGTTACAGGCTATAGCTAGTTACTTGACATTGCGTTACAGGCTATAGCTAGTTACTTGACA